GCCTTTTCCATAAAGCCTCTCCCACACTCCCCAGCTGTAGGTGTCTACTCCCTTCTCTAAACCCCACAATACTTTCTCTTTTTCTCTCATTTTTTCCCCCCACTTATTCCAATATGCCAGTTACTGAGCCAGTCCTGGGGATACAGAAGAAAGATGGTCCTTCATGGAGAATCAGTTAACAAGGAGGAGACAGACAAGTAAGCAGAAACGTCAGCACCATGATAAACGCTACACAAAGTGTTATACATAAGGAGCCACTGAACAGAGAAGCCTTACCAGGCTCTGCAGAACAGGTTAGCAGTACGTTATAAGCTCCCTGAGGGTAAGGACTAGGTTTCATTCATCTTATGTCCCCCTCTTTATTCATAGCAAAGTGTTCAATGTAGAATAACATCTAAGGCTGCTGTTGAATGAAAGGCAGCGTTTGAGTCAGAATCTGATCAGCAGCCTCCTTTCCTATTGAAAAGGGACACCCTCCGAGTAAATTGGTGTCCCAGAGAATTACAATCTAATAACAGCACATCCTGCTACTTTACCTACAATCCTTTTCATTCTCTCATCCTCAATACTTTCTCTTTCTTATAAGGCTGTGTGGTGGATTCCCATAACACAGCTATTTTCCCAAGAGATCAAAGGGTGCTCTCCCAAATATAGGCACTACACATGCTTAGTGTTATAACAGACATCATGTGTTAGTCCAGCCCCAACACCAGCATTTTAAGAAGTCAATTTCAGTCATGAGAAATCCTAGGTCTTTTCTCTCTCTGTTCCTATAAATTAAAATGCAGTATAAGTTATCCTCAAATAATAAGTATCTATCTTATAAATGATCATTATATTCAAATGGATTCACAATCACTACTCCTGAATCCTCCTCTTCATGATGTAGGAAATATATATAAATATGTACACACATATATATTGTATATGTACATACACACACTTTTATGAAGTCTATGGCATTCCAAAGGAGAGAGACTTTCAGGAGTGGGAGAAACCAAGGGCAAAATTCCAGTAAGATCTGACTTATTTGTGCAGAGGACTATAAATTCCTTCTTCCCAACAGAGCCTGAAATTTTTATTTTGAAATTATCTGAGCTAACAGCAGCCTCTTATAGACCTATAAAAAATGTGAAAAAACTCGGGAAGGGTTAAGAGCTCATGAGTCATTTACAGATTAAGATGAATTAGTTTCACCAGATTGTTTTCCCCTTAACATCTAGATGAGATCCGGTGCACACTAAGGGAATGAAAGACAGGGAAGGGAAAGGCAAGGAAGGAAGTGGGAAATCTGAGGGCAGAGACTACATTTACAGCCTCTGAAGCACCACCAAGTTTGGGAAAGTATAGCTTCAAGGTGTACAGGCCTGGCTGGGGAGACGGGTGCGATAGGTACACTAAAGGTTGAAAATGAAAAGGTTTATGAAAAGCCAGAATTTGGCTTAGGGAAGGATGGGCCTTAAACCTAGGAAATGAATTCTTCTCACTTTTGTCCTAGTCCTGGAACTCAAGCTAAAATAACGTAGTTCAGTTACATCATGGGTTACTTCAGATTGCAGGGTTGGCCTAGGTACCAACTCCTGTGTGTGTGTTTCAAGTACCAAACAATTTACCTAGGCAGATTTATTAGTAAACATTCAGTGATAGATCTTAAGTCAAGATATTTTTGAATCTTATTACGGTCACAGCTATGAATTAAACATTAGCTTCTAATGAATTAATAGTAATTTGGGTTAAAATGTTCTCCCCTATTGATTCTTTTCTGAATTCTGAATGAAGCCAGAAAAAAACTTCTTACAGACTCCTTAAAATTTTAATGAAAATATTCAATGTGTCAGCTTAAATTTATTTAACAAAATTAGAAAAAAGTAAATCAGATTTATTATGCTACTAAACAATAACTACGCACTAACTACAATACCAATACTAGTATTTCATATAATATGGCTGGAAATTCTTCAATCAATTAACAGTCAAGTCATCCAACAAACAGTAACTGCCCTCTGAGCATGTAGTATGCATGCAGTATATATAGATTTTATCATTTTTCAGAAATTTCTCTTTAAATATTATTAAATTAACAAACTGTGCAAATTAACATGTAGTGGCCTAAACACAACGTATTGAGAAATAACAAACTACTTGAAAGCTTAATGGTATGTTTTAGCTGTGAGGATTCTGACAAGATGAGGATTACTATTTTTTCCCAACATCAACTTCTGTAATTTCCCCCTTGTTCCATTATCAAGTGTAAGAGAGTATACTTTACTATTGTACTAGTTATTGAACATGTCAGATCAGAAAGGAAATTTGCATTTAATATAATAACTGTGCTATTCTTCACTCTACTAAAAAGAATGTAAGAAGCAGGTAAGATAAAACTAAATCCAAAGCAAAGGAGCTAGGAACCTTATATTACACTTGAGTATTATTTATTCCCTAATATACTTAATAAATTCCACAACAAAATATGCATACCCAAGTTGATTATACATTAACAGGATCTTGAACTGTTTCAAACCCATATTACAAAACGGTCATTTCCGTGAAAGAAACATAAAATATATCATGGTTCTGTGGTATCCAGAATACAGCTTCAAATTTAAGGTAAATTTAAAGGTAAAGCTTTCATTTCCAATAAAGCACACGAACAGCACCAACAAAAACAGTCAGACTTAATATAATAGAACAGATGAGGCCCAAGTCTTAGGACAGAGTCCAGATCAACACACACAAAAAACTGCCATACTTCTGTTTCCATCCAACCATCTTTTACTTCAAATATTTAGAGTTCAAATACTTAAATTCTTCAAAGATTTCCCCCACTTCAATAAATTCTTCAAAGGTCTCCCCCACTTTGTAACATATATAATTTTTTCTTTCAAAGCATCCACAGTGCAAACTCCCAAAATCTTTAATAATAAACCAATACGTTCTTAAAGTGTGATTAAAAGAAAATATCCAATACCTTAACTGATTCTCTAAATAACAAGAGAAATGAAAATCTATTAACTTTCCTATAGGGCATTGGATATTATTTACTAGTCACAAAAAAGGCAAATTTTAAATTAATTTAGCTCAGATTATTCAATTTTATTAATAATTCTGAAATAAGAAAGATGTCTTTATTAGACATCAAATTATTTACTAGGCATATAAACTCACTAAATTTCCCTGTATCAGCTATAGTATTCCTAAGGACTTGTGTCATTTATTTAATTACATCCATAATTAGCAGACAGAATGAAATAAAAGAAAAATTTACAATGCCTCAATGCTTTTATTGTTATTATTATTCATACATTCACATATAACAGGAAATCACCAGAGCCAAGGAAAATGAAATTTTTCTAATACCAGGATGGCATATTCACTTTGGTGCAAGATGCTAAAAATGATGAAACAAGAAACCTTCCAATGGTTCCTTGAAATTATTTTCTGTCAAAATTTAATTTTCCAGTTTCTAATACCCAAACAGGAAGAAGTCTGACCTTGCCAGACATCTATGAATTCTCAAGAGAACCCTTCCATGCATCTTAATACCTGTCAGGACAACAATTTTTAAAATTTCATGAAAGGATAATATCAAATGTCTCAAATAATACCGAAAAATGGAGGAAAAAAGGATACCCTTGAATCTAAGAGCCACTTTTACTGGCTAGAAGCAGCTCTTTTAGGTTTTCAGGAAAATATCAGCCTCCCCCCAAAATAGACAAAGTAAACCCTATGCATCCTCTCTTCTAACATTTCTGAAAACCCACACATAAGTTATATCTTATAATTTGGTATGTTTTACAGGGAGAAATTTTTTAAAAAGTGAAAATCTAAGAATGTAATTCGCTGGGTGCACACTTTTCTAACAAAACAGCCTAGCATTCCCTACGTGACTAATCTATTTTAAATTCTGTTCCTCTGTTCCTATGCAATCTAATATTATCCATTAAAACTGCCAAAATATTTTTAAACAAGATCTGAGAATTTCCCTCTCAGCTTCTGATCTTTGCACTCCTTAAGTTTGCAGACACGTCACTGGCAAACCAAGTGGTAGTGACAGGTTACTCCAAATCAACTCTTTCGGATGAAATTTTAAATTGACAGCTACTCAAAAATTTCCCATGCTTCCCAGATCTCACGGTGAGAGAAATAAGTACTATATGCAAGTCAAGGATTCCTCCTGATCACCTGCTGCAAAATTTGGTCTGCGGAACCTACTAATGCATATTGCAAGTCAATTATCCTGTTCCCCTTAGCCTAAGATCTTACAACATTTATGCTTCCTGGAAGTTTCGCTTCGTATCTTAAGCCTTGTGAGCCCTGAAGTTGCAGGCCATAAACATATGATAGCACTTGCAACGTTTCTCCATGAATAAGGTCACACACTTCTGCATCCAAGGCGTGTATGTCGCACATGTGTCTGCAAATTCCACACTCAGCCTCAGCGAACACGAGTCTCCCGCTTCCCTGCACCTCGGTGCCAAGTTTCTCTAAGCCACTTCCAAGCAAAACTCTCCTGCTTTTAAAAAGAAAACTACATTCGCAAGGAGAGGATATCCAGGACGAAAATCAAGACTCTAAGTGCAACACTTTTTAAAGTAAACAAACCAAGAAAAAGACTCTGCCCCCGCGAAAGGCGGCTGCAAAACTCTGGGGCCGACGCGCACCCCGCCTCCCGCGCAGCACACCAAGCGCCCCCCCGAACGCCGCGCCCCGACCCCAGCCCCGCGCGGAGAGTGGCCTCGGCACCCCGGCTCTCCCGGGCAGAGACGCACAAGCCAGGCCCGCCGCCTCGCTCGCCATTCTCTCGCTGCCCTGCGCACCGAATTCTCTGGGAATCGCCCACACGAACCCGAAGCTGCCCTCTCCTTCCGGCCGCGGCCGCGCGGGGCCCGCTCCCCCGGACGCCCACCCCGAGGGCCCACACTGCCGGCGACGCCGCGCTCCAAGTTCGCCCGCGGCCGCTCGAGCGCGCCCGCACCGGCGGACGGCGAGTGGGTACGTACTCGGCCAGCGGCTGCAGCGGGCTGGGCGCGCGCTCCCCCGAGGACGGCTCAGCCCCGACTCCGAAGCGACGGCCCCCGGCTCTCCCTCCTCAGGCGGCTGCGGCGGCCGGGACGCCCCCGCTCCCATCGAGGGGGGAAGGGAAGGTGGTGGGCGCGCTCTCCCGGCTCCCCCCCACCAGCTCGGGCTCGCCGCTCCTTCCTGCCCGCCAGCCCCGACGGCGCTCGCTCGGCCGCGGTGGCGACGGCGGCTCCTCCCGGCTCGG